TAGCGGACTACAACACAGCCACCGCCATGTGTACGCCCGGTACGCATTGTTGCCCAATGCATTTTGGGTTAGGCTATTGAGCCAAAGGCTCCGGGCGGAGTCCCTCAAGCAAAGCAAAAATTCCCCCTGCCTTGCGCGTCAGCCTATCGAGCTAAAGGCTCCGGGCGGAGTCCCTCAAGCAAACCTCCGAAGCACATCCACAACCTCGCATGCGATTGCCCACCAATGCAATCGTATGCCGGCGCGCAAAACACTCAGCATCGGGTGCTGGAACTTGCGCACACTAATGGACCGGAAATCCAGCGAGCCCACCGAGCGACGCACTGCACTAGTCGCGATGGAACTGGCGCGCTACCACATTTATATTGCGGCGCTCAGTGAAATCCGGTTCGCTGAGCAACGTAAGTTGCATGAAGCAGGTGCTGGCAACACATCCTACTGAGTGGGCAACGCCGCCTCAGCACCACGTGATCAGGGGGTCGGATTTACAATATCCGATCGCCTCCATGGCCAGATCGTGGGTGAACCAACAGGCATCAGCGCGCGACTGATGACTGTTCGCCTACGGCTCGGAAGAGGTAAGTTTGCTACTTGAATAAGCACGTACGGTCCGACACGCGTGATCAATTCTACACTCAGCTATCCTCTGTGATACGGTCTGTGCCGAGGAGCGACCGACTATTTCTGCTGGGTGATTTCAACGCGCGCGTTGGGTGTGATGCGTCGGTGTGGACAGATATTATCGGTCCGCATGGTATTGGTTAAACGAATGCGAACGGTGACAGGCTGCTCTCACTGTGTGCCACTCACGATCTGATGATCACGAACACTCGGCTTGCACTGAGTGCGAGTGATATGGCAACTTGGACGCACCCACGGAGTGGTCACGCACACCTGCTCGGCTATGTCATCATACGTCAGCGTGACATGCGCATGACACGTGTACTGAGTGTGACACCGACCACAAATTGGACATCCACGTACGGAAAAGTACGTACTGTGAATCGGAGGCGTAAACTTAACATTCGCTGCATCGGTACTGCGGAGAAATGTATAGAGCTGGAGAAGTCGATGGCCGCACACCTGTCTGATGTGGACTGCATGGCTACAATGGGCGACCTGTGGCACCACATTCGCGATTGCTTGAGTGAAACAGTCCTAGTGAGCCACGAGCGAGGACACTGGGGACCAACATCGAAATGACGACGGATTCTGCTTAGAAGGTAAGCAAATCCGATGCAGTACTGGTAGGTACGCTGCAAGCGCTTCCATTCGATTTACTAACGGTATGCCTGCGTGCGGAGTATTTTTATTTTAGGTGATTGTTTTGCCATATCGTCTTAATGCTTATTTCAGAATCATTGTATTAGGACAATAAGATTACAATCCGTGTCATCTCCATCATAAAAAAGGGCAAGGCGAAACTGACCAATGCAGGATTATGGTTTGTGTAAGTCGCAAGTTTGATCGTCTGGTATCGGCCACACAAAATACGGTTTGAAAAGTCGTGATAGCAGTATGCTTAGGTGTTTCAGTCCTGTAAGAGCGCTAAAGCAGCCGTAACATACCCATTCGATGTGAGATCTAACATAGCGTCCGCATCGAAACATAGGTTGCCAAAGTGATTGCCAATGCGTTGATTGAAATATAGCACAGAATCTGCGACAACAACAAGACTGGGTAACCAGTTCCAGAAATGTACCACACATGAGTGAAGCAATGAGAATGAATAACATGATCCATCAGCGGGATTTCAAGCTTATACACATGCCCACGGGTGATGGATATCTCCGCAACGCAGAACGTACACTTCAGATGAGGAAAGTGTCCCAAGTTAAGGGTTCTGAAAGTTGCAATGAGATACATTTTGATCTCTTGTACACTAAGGTGTGAAGCCGCAAATTTTAGCACCTTTGTTGATAGGATAGGCCGCGAAGTGTAGGAATCAAGCGGGTGGCCAGGTTCTGTAGCTACTCTAGTTTCTTCATCTCGCCCTTCTTGCTGGGACAGAAGGCCGGTGCACCGCATTCGAACAGTGGGCGCATCAATGCGACATACAGTCTGATAGAAGTTTCCTCTGACTAAACATATAATGTTTGTTTCAGTGACCCAAGCTTGCGGAGACTGGAACAATATACTTTGGGCATATTGTTCACAGATTTTAAATCCCACCGGGATAATACTCCGAGATCGTTTACCGTTGTAACTGGGTATAGCCGTCGACCACCGATACTGTACGTTCTGTCACGAGAGCCTTTGTCTATGCTGATTAGGTCGGATTTAACCGGGTTCAACGGCAGGTAGTTAGATGATGTCCATGAGGATATTTCGTCGAGATCAAGTTGTAGTAAACGCTGATCGACGGGTGACGAGATTTCTCTCCAGACCTTTAAATCATCGGCGAAAAGCGCGCACGTAGATTTCAAGTGTCCTGGCAGATCATTGATGTGAAATAAAAACAGTGTTGGGCCAATTATCGTGCCCTGTGGCACACCACTATAGGTAGTAAACCATGGTGTTCGATGGTCGCTTACCTGAACGCATCACTGACGCTCGTACAAGAAGGATTGAATGGATCACAACAAGTTACCTCATTGGAAATATTTGGGTGTTGCTCTTCCCAACACTGGCACAGCACGACCGCGGTTTCGTCTTGGTTTGGACTCGTCAGGTGGAGATAGCCTGAGCTGGGGTGGAACTCAGTGCTTAGTAGTTCACGGCTGACGCCCTGAACACTATGCTACTGAGATCCGCGAGCAAAGCTTGGCACAGCGGAAAGTAATTCAAAGCTGAATTTAGGGAGCACGCTGTGTAGTTGGGTTGCGACTCGAAACCGCTGTGTCAAGCGTTGCTCGCGGATCTCAGTAGCATAGTGTTCAGGGCGTCAGCCATGAACTACTAAGCACTGAGTCCTCGAGATCGGAATGACCGAGGTTTGCCTCAATGTGAACCGAGGTCTTAATAGAGGTTGCGAGTCGCAACCCAACCATACAGCGTGCTCCCTAAATTTAGCTTTGGAGTTACCTCATTCTTATGTCTGCTTGAACTATCTTCTAGTTACCTGCACACGTCGCTTAAACAAAAGGTGGTTAACTTCGTTAAATATTTTTTTGAGTTTGTTGCAGTTTTTTGATACCTTTTCCCAACAGCTTGATTAATCGCGGATTTGTTGATAACTCATTTATTTCAAATGCTAAGTAAGCGAAAAGCTATGTCAACTAATCCGCATGCTTTACTCGATATATTTAATCTAATCTTGTCATTTAAAGTAATTGGCTGTCGCTCGACATCCCCGGTGTCACTGCGCCTGATGTAAATGTTGACACCCTCCAACTCGATTACTGATTCCAGGAAACTGTGAATCGTTGTTACAGGGTCGGGGTGCAAAGTCTTCGTGACAGTGTTAGGCTCAAAGAGTGGTTCCATCCAGTATGGAGCGGACTACAGCCCAGTCACCGCCTTGTCTACGTCTGGTACGCATGGTTTCCCTACTAGGCATGAATGCTTATGCTCTGCTTGTTGAAGGAGTGTGGGTCGGCTCCGATGATGAAACGTGGCTCCCATTAACATATCTCCCGGTCTTATTCATTCGGATATATATATATATATATATATATATATATATATATATATATATAATGGTTTGTGACATCCGTGTCCGGATTTGCCTGTCATTGCGGCCTCCATAGGACAGTTACAGGACGCCTGCGTCTACAAAGGGATCATGGGTGGCTTGCGCAGTACCACCCACAGCTCTATCCATACACCCCACATCCAGTGTAAACCGGAAAGAATAAGACCGGGTATCTGGATAGGAGCCACGTTTCATCAACGAAGCCGGCCCATGCATAAACATGTTTTCTAGGTCAGATGTGCCGTTATTTTCGCTTATTTGCCTTTAATGGAATGCCATACTATTCGACATCAATGAATTGGCATGATCTTTTAACGAACGAAGGAAGAGGTGTGAGTTATCTCATTCTGCTTCATTACGGCTAGTCGGGGTGTAGAGAATGTATGCGAGCTGAGTCGTGACACTACTAATCCACCAGATTGGTTGCAGAGATCTAGCTACCAAGGGCGAAACAGTGAGCTGACTGGACTTCGCTTCGATATGATCGGTCCAAGGTTCAATCTAACGTGACAGACTATTTGCCAACTTTTCATTTTTCCAAGATAGTTTTTGATTAACGTGAGACCTTCTTGGACCGGGGTATCAAATGAGTTTGAGCAGCACTAGGCTGTGAAGCCCCCCTTCGCCTCACGAGTGCCCATCATGGTGCAGTGTCTTTTTCAAACAATGAGTATCATGATCAGATGTCATTCTAATTGAAGAGTAAAAACAAAACGGTTACAGGATTCTGCGGGATGAACGAGTGTTACCCAGTGGTAGAGATGATCCTAGTTTACACCACATTAGATCGTACTACGAATCGAGACTACGAACCGAAGCGCGCACACACACACAAAACCCCCAGCGATGAGTATTTCGAACCAACTTACAGCCAAATGAGGAAACTCGAAAAACAAGAACCAGATATTGATAGGGTGGTGAATTGTATTGACAGAAGAACGGAAATGAGGAAAGCAATGTCTGTCAGCCGAAATCGTTAAAAGACTAGCGATGGTATACATTCATTGTGAAGAGCAGAGCCTCGCTGAAGCACAATTTGAATTATCCACAAAAATAAATAGTCTTAGAGATACAACGGTTCAAAATGATCACATGTATGCGGAATAAAACGCAAGGAAGAAAGTTCAAAAGGAGAGAAAGGCAGTAATCGAAAATGCACTGATTGGGTAGGAGAATAGATTGATGTAAGACTTGAATGGGGAACCGAGAATTAACACCGTGGCAAAGTTGAACTAGACGGTAAGGTTGGGTGGTATAGCAAGCATTTAAATTTGATAAGTTAAGCAAGTGGAGGGGAACTGCACAGAAAGTTACCGAACGAATATAGGAGAGAAAGGAGAAAGTAGTTATGATGCTAATGTCGATATTAGCCTGTCAGCAGAGGAAGTAAATGTAGGCCCCTTGTGTCGTGTATGGCTTGAAGGCTGGCACGCAACAGGTTCACCTCTTGAGCCCTCAGTCGCTCGCAGTTGCGCTGCATAGCGGACAGTTGGGAGAATCCAGGGTCTGACTGAAAAGAGATGAAAAAGATAAAATACTGACAAGATCAGTTTTGTTAAGCACTGACAACCACAAACTGGAAGTGTATTGAATCGCATTGCTGCAAGAGCCAAATGATTAGATCTTAATCAGACAGTTAGAAAGAAAACGATAGAACCAAAGTAAGGAAATGCTAACAAGCAAACACAATAGGACAACTGTGAAAACATCATTGACCGTTAGAATATGCCGTCGGATAAGGTTATCCAAGCCATTGACACCGCCAATCGTTAGGATTACTGATCATATGGATGATGACACGTATCCAACCAAATGAGTTTTCCAGTGTTTTCAAATGAATACTTTGGAGTTTTCATCCAATACGAGGCAACCCATTCAAAGGGTTTGTGCTTGAAACACGACAGGCGATCGGGTCCGGCACAAGAGGGACTGCAGCCGAACACACCGAGTGCCAAACAAGGGTATGACCAATTGGTTGGTCCCATCCGACGTGAGTGTTAAATGTATCCTCAACGGGGAGCGGTGATGGCAGTGCCAAAAGCGGGTGGTCGCCAGGTAGTCACTTACGGCAGACAAGAAAGATGTTTGACCAGAACAGTGGTCATAGGTTTTTAGGGTCGTTCTATACTGTTTGGAGTTTAGTTAACCAATAATGAAGTAGTTCTATCTGCTCGTAAGAAAATGGTCATAAAAAGGAAACGGGTTAGGAACTATATTGGCGCAGTCCGTTGAGTTGTAAAAGCTTTGATAGTAAAAGGCGGAAAATCAGTTGAAAAAACCTCGGCTTGATCCTTGCGATATTGAATGTGGGAAGATTTAATCGTATTGCGATGTTGAAGTCAGTTTTCCAGTTCGACGTAAACTGTGACGTAGTGCTTACACCTGCTTAGGGACCAATGCTTACAAGCGGCAAACAAATGAAGAGACTGCACCGTAATCTATTGCGATGGTCTGCATGTGCCTCCGTCATCCACACAGCCATGCTGGGTGGCATCATAGGGCTACATTTATGAGCACACATGCCAGACACATCAGAAGTTAGGGTAGAGAATAATTCGGTACCGGCATCCACTTGGAAGCTTATAAAGAAGCCGATGGCCCTCTTTCACCAATACATAGTCATGGGAGCAACAGTATACGGGTGAAAGCTCGGTTCGATTTGCTCAGAGGATGAGCGCCATGCGTTGTCTCTACTAGTGGGAAAGCACCACCTGTGTCCAATGATCTGCTACCACCGGCCTGTAAAATAGACAGACTCTGGCTGGAAAGGTGTCAACTCGGAAAAACGCCAACTGCGGTCATTCGTTGTCGTAAGTGCGTAATATGATGCGATGGGAACACACGCATGAATTTCTTTGGTTCTGCAAAGGTTACGCATGACAAGCCTCAAGTAGACCTCGGCTGGATGCCACAGCCACTCCTGAACCGCATTTGCTCCCAGCTGTTTCGTGGATCTGGCTGTTGGATGTAAGACCGGAGATAATGCATCTTGAACAAAACCCCTCTTTCCGAATGGGTACACGGAGCGTCATCAACCCACAGGACACCGTCCCAAGTAACCTCTTCCCTTCTTCCGTTTCCGTTCTACCACTGAGTTCACCATCCACACTATCAAGGGTTAGGTAATCCTTCAAAACTAAGAAATCATTCGAGATTGGACCTTTCCGAGTTTGTACATTGACAGATCGGCCGGTATTATAACAGTCGCTGATTCTGAACCCCATCAAATTTGGTGCATGAGTGTCTTAATTCTCCTATGTTCATCAGACTGGAGTTCCAGCTATGGGGGTTACACACTCCACATCACTGGCGAAAATAATCAACGACTAGCGGCATTTACAGTGTTGGTGTCGCTGTAAGTATACATGCAAAAACTACTCCTCTAGGCTAGATTCCAGTGAACAGCCGATCGTTTAACATTTGGTATAGAGGTGACATCCGAGTAAATAAATATGCACTCATGATAAGGAGCCTTGATGTCGCTCCGGCACAAACTTTTACCCTTTGAAGCACGAAGGCTGTCAAAGAGAAATCATCTAATCATTATTATGCGTCAGCTCGTATGCCCAAAATTATAGATATCGTGATGGCTGCGAGCGACAAGGACGCTTAAGTTAATCGCATATGAAAAAAGGGACATCGTCCCGAGAACCATGCCGGAGTCGGTGCTTGTCGAATTGATCACTCGCTTTAGGTGTACGCCAAGAACAACATCTATTCAAGCAGCAAATACTTCTAGAAAATCAATCACATGACGGTCTACATTGAGATTGCGCGCCGCAATCCATTCACACAATAAGTGCTTCAAAATAACCCTTCAATCAGTCATCAACCGTTGTGACAAACGTTGCCCGTCGCGTCACGGCGGCTTGAGGGTACAGGTTTCGACTAACTTCCCAATGGTTCTGGATTCGATGCCTGCTATCTCCACTTGAGGAGATCAAACAAGGTCGAAACGCATAGCGAAAGGAAGTGTTTTCGGACGACCAACACCCAATATCTATCTGCGTTTACATCAAGTCATATGGTGGCAACAGAACACACTACGCTGGACTCAAACTGACTACAGCGCCATTAGCTGTACATGGTGTATGTCGATACAAAATTGTCGTTCAAACTTGCACACGTTTGTATGGCAATGAAGCAACACATTAACTGACTGATGTACTGCTGTTGATGAACACTTGCCTCGATTCAGACCACATCCTTGTGCTTGCACGTCTGGCAATATCCCTAACTCGGCAAAGTGCTCGATTTTGAAATTGTCCGAAGATCGACTGCACTCGTAACTCGCGAAACGAAAATCCCAATCCCGAATTGCCGCCTCAGCCGTCACTGACAAACGAGGTAGACGATCCGAATGTGAAATAAATTTGACCCAAAAGCGCATTGCTTAAAAACCCACTAAGGTCGTTTGTCCTAGCAGCTCGAGGTAACTGAATAGTACGTAGATATCCAGGATTTCGGATGAGTAGATTAAAGCAATAGAGACCGTATCACCAGGGTACCATTTTCGAAGTGTGTAACACTCTGAAAGGTCGCCTTACTAGAAGCTTAGGAACTGACAGAAAGCGTTGGTTGATGGTGAAGGTCAGTGCCACTAGAGACACGCGTTTATGCTTCCGGTTTTCGTAGGTGAAATAATAACAGCAAAGGGTGGACAAACTATTCACCCTCAGTCATGTCGTCTAGAAAGCTGGGCCGAGCACTTGGAAAACCATGCTAGTCTGCCTGGCATATTAAAACTGCTGACTGGGTCATCTGAGCGCACATAAGGCGACGATGTAACGAACCCAAGATCGAGGAGAATCGATAGCACCTAGTATCGCTTAAGCGGAACGAAGCGCAGTCGTTGAGACTGAGACTGTATTTAAGAGCGAGTAAAAAAATTTCTGCACAATTCTATCGAATTGGGAAAAATCAAAAACATTTAATTGCGGATTGTCAGCAGTAGTGTTTGGTCAGCTTATTATTTATCATTATTCGGTTAAGAATTCGCATTGATGTCATTATTTCCGGGTATGGAATGTATTTTTTGCATTGTATGTGCACCGTTTTACGAAATCACTGGTTCCGAAATGATCGTCCATACGTGTTTTGTAACAGAATCGGCCGCTATTAATCCTTCTAGTGGTATGTTCCATAAGTTTACGATTCGTCGTTCGATACAAAGCTGATGTGATACCCTGTTTATGCATCGGACCCTAAGTTCGTAACAGTGTCCTCGGATGGTACAGGGTTCCTGCAGGTGAAATATTAGCCACAGTATGGGGAAGTAACTCAAGTATAGTACTCGATGGGTCATCATAAGGTTGATTCTTAGACGGCGACAGGAGTGTGTGAAATCCGAGCCTTTCACAACGTTTTTCATACGGAAGCTTTTGTAGACTCGGTATCATTCTAGTTACATGTGCTGCATTTTCTCCAGCTTTTCAGTTTCCCACTGGGTTATCGGATGGTAAGCTGGGGCGCCGTATTCAAGGATTGGTCTAATGAGCGAGGTGAATAGACGAGGGATGGTTTCTTCGGACCATGTGGAGAAACTGCGTCTTAATGTCCAGAGCATACGAAGTCCCGCACGGTACAATTTCTCTGTATTTTCTAGTAATCTCATATCATGTTGTGAGAGGACTCCTAAGTCTTTGACAGATGTGTTAGGGCGGAGCAACTGGCCGTCCAAGGTGTATGATCGAGTGGCTGGACGTCTGGTGATATTGGTGAACTCCGACTTGCTTGCGTTAAGAGGGAGTTGCATTTCAGTGAACCATGTTGACAGTCGCTCTAAGTGATGCTGGTGGCGAGCGCATTCGTCCTGATTTGCAATGATCCTCCAGATTTTCAAATCATCTGCAAACAGGGCACATGGTGACTGGAGCTGCTGCGGAAGATCGTTGATATGAATAAGAAATAATACTGGCCCAAGTACAGTTCCTTGAGGCACGCCACTAGTCGATGGGAACCAGTCTGTGAGGCAGTCATTGACCTGTACTCTAAACCTTCGTCCCACAATAAACTCGTGTAACCACTGAAGTAATGTGCAACCGATTCCGTATGTCCTCAGTTTACGAAGGAGTACCTCGTGGTTCACGCTGTCAAACGCCTTACTAAAGTCGATGTACACCACGTCAACATCCTTCCGTTCGTTGAGAGCTCGTACCAACTGGTGATTTGCGTACATCAAGTTGGTGATGCAGGATCGCCCTTTCGTGAAGTCTTGTTGCGCTGGCGTCAATATGTCCATCGATTAGAAGAACAACAGCAGACACTTTTTCACAACCTCGGGAACTTTGAACAACATTGAAGTCAAACAGATCGGTCTGCAGTTCTAATTGACTCGGATCATCACCATTGGGAAGTGGTCTCACTATCGAGCATTTGCAGTCGTTGGGGACAGATCATTCGGAGTGATTTATTGAATAGGTTTGTCACAGTGCTTTTCCGGGCGTGTGGCGGCTGTCTGAGTGAGTCTAGATGTGACGAATTTCTACGAACACACATATAAGTCAGACCAAGCGTAGTAATGAACGTCCTATCGATCACGACGCTGTTGAGTAGAAAAGTAATAAGAATACCGAATTACAATAACACCGGTCAACGAAGGTAGGGACACGGTTGCGATTCGGAAGCGTTACCGGGTTGTCAGGTGGGTGTTAAATCGGAGGCCCGAAATCACAAACAAGCTCATTTACCCTTACTAAGGGGTTTTCAATCAATATCCACTCTCGAATATGGATATGGATTTGACGGGGAAGATGAGGGTAGATAGGACTGAAGGGATCTAATGTGTGGTAACAAGACTGCAGACCCGTTAATAAATGGTGCTCAGAATCCAAATTCAAGAAGGCTGAAACATACCTCGGTCAAAACCGAGCCATAAGTCATTATCAGCAGCTGGAAGCGCTTGGTTAAGAAGTCCGCTGATTTGGCGTCCAGGAGAGAATTGAAGTCAAGGGAACGCATTCGCAGCGCGGATAAAGCCGAATCTTCGGACAGTAGATAATGATCCAGCTGCGCTAAATGTAGAAAAATTAATAAATCCATAGTATGGGTTCCAGCATTATGGTTTAACGAAACATCGTAGACAAAGATTGACACTGGAGCTGTGACTCAAGTTATCTATAGACAAGATAGGAAAATTGCATCAGGTATAGAGGCAAGGAGTGTCGATACAGCGATTTGCGCATAAGGTTAGTGTGTCAAAGCAGTGTGCTCGGACGATCACAACATTTATTACAGTACAAAATGTGTTCTTCATAAATACAGTCAACCAGACGGCCAGCATAGATTTTGGAAAGCATTTGATGGTTGACGGGCCTTCCCTAGACTAACAAACAGTGACACATGTCTTAGGCCTAATGAGAAGCTGAAAGCCGTGGTCCACCGTTTTGAGAGTTGACTTTAGCCTCTGGTCCACTGCAGATGTCTGTATACCATAGGGCTAAGTGGTGAGTTGTGACATGTCGCAGCTCACACTGTTTCTTCTGTGCAAGAGACAGGGTGCCCTCCCAGGGGAACCGGCTTCCAAAACTTACGCCGCCAATCAGCGCATAATATTGCGAACAGGGTACCGATAACAAATCATTGAGACACGTTTTGAAATCCATATCGGGCTGAGAGAATGATGCATAGATAATGCGACTAAAAAGAACTAAACGACCGGATGTGCACGAGCCATCCAACTGAACTCAAAGTCACACCGGCGAGCGGACACAAGATTTCCCGAAGCTTGCTTTGCATGAATTTCCGTTGCCAAATATCGCCTTACATCCAGCTACTTCGATTAGTTCCGTCAGCTTGGAAGAATTTTTCTTAGTGCGTCTAAGTATTAGGAATTTCTCCTTGTGGTTGTTGCTCACTTTAAGGTTGTCAAACCGATGTGTTCCACGCGAAAATTAACGCACAACCTCGATTTTTCAGGATTTGATAAAGCGTTTTGGTTTTATATGGAGGACAATTTTGGGAGCTATAGAACTACTGATTCACCCAAAGATATTACTGCAGGGAGCAGCTACTGACAAGTATGCCTACTCACTTTCGCCACTCTTATTGTTCCGCCCGCAAGCCGGCTCTGACGATTGTGCGCCGCTGCGCTGATTCGATAAATAAACCGAATGTTACTCCAAGCTGTCCACGCTCGCGTGACGGTGGCCTTGACGTGTGGTGAGAACGCAAAAACGCGGTATGTTTCATCTGCGCCCTAAATTTTATTGATTGGACATCTCAGTATACAGCCCTTAAGCAAATATATCTGTTCTGTCAAGATTTTCCGAACGATTCTAATGGTTTTATCCAGTTTTTTCTCTCCGCTAAATGTGTCTAGTGCTTTCTGCCGACTGATCTATCAGCATGACTGCCAAAGCTGTCTCTGCAAGAAGAACCGGTTTAAAACACCGAAATCATTTCTACGCCAATAAAAAAACAAGTGAAGCGAAGCGCATACCAAAATGCTAATCACCCATGTCGAATAAGTATTGCCAAACTGGTCCTAATGCAGTAGACACCACCAATATATGCTCTGAACCAGCAGAAAAGCCAGTGTGCGGAGCAACTTGAAAAAACCCGCAGCTTCAGAGCCACCATAGCAACCGAAGTATATGAAAGGAGTGCACGTACTAGGAATGTTGCGATCTTTACGATGCAGTGGAACCCAATCGAGAAGCTGAAGTGTACTCTTTTATCATCCTGTTTCCATGAGTGATGTGTAATGTATAGCGAAGCGTCTTCGAAAACAGTTACAAAAACATAATTACCCGATACCGTTGAAATCCACCGCAGTATATGCAGCACACTCATTCACTGATAAACCGTCGCAATGAGAGTGGAGCATAACGTGGTGCGACGGTTTGCGTACCTTCTTGACCCAGGGTGGTGCCTCCGGGCACCTTGAGAGCTACTCCTACCAGGTTGGTCAATGGTGAGAGGTCAGACAAACTCAGTCTCCTGGTCCTCCAGGTTGGGGATTTGAAATGGGATGGTGTACATTTCTGTAAAACTAAATCCTTGCCACTTCCTCGCTGCCTTACGGACAGGCTTTTGAGCCAAACGCTTTGCAGGAGGACACCAATCGTCCTCCTGTCCAGTTCTGAGCGCCCTGACAGTATTTCAGACCACATACAACTATGACTTTTTCTTTAAACATAAACTTCATCCTGCATCGGCCGTTGCGCAGATTATCAAGCGTCGCATTATCTACTGCATGCAGCAGGGCGGATAAGCGAAAACATGATACTGCTGGAGCCTCCCTTCTTTCTTTCCCACCTGTTTCTCTTACACCCCACCCAACCCCCATTAGTAACCTACCTGCTGTAATTCCCAGCTTAACTGACAACAGCCGCAATGCCACTGGAGTCACAGCATCCGCAACTGTCTTCCCGCACCACCCACCGCACGCCTACCGGCAACAGCCCCTAATAAGGCCACGCTGACGTGCTTTTCATGGCGACGTTCCTGACAGGACGTTCGCACTCTAAAACAAATACATCGACAGGCTACACTCGCACGCACATTGGACAAACTGGGTATTGACGTGTGTTGTGTCCCAAACTAGGATCAATGGCCCTCACAAGATTGTTGAACTAACTGCGCCCGGCATGTCCTCTCGCAATTGGTTAAAAACACACGCATCCGGAGACGTGGATGCAGCACTCACTGGTCAAGCTGTGGCGGGCATTAGTCTCAGCTCCAACGCTGTCGTCGTTAGTTGACTGGATTCCGGTGAACAGCCGTTTGTGTGCCGTCCGTTTGAGGACATCAGCTAAGGTTGATTCACGAAGTAGTATAAAACGCTATTTGTTTGTGGTGTCCGCTTATGCTCCCACCGACTGCAATTCTGGTGCTGCCAAGGACACATTCAATCACGAACTGAACGTTCTACTACGAAGTGATACTAGTTCAGATGTCGTAGTACTTGCAGGGGATATGAATGCACTGTACAGAAGCTCAGTTAGGTGGTAATTATGAGCTTAACTCCGAACGGACTGACAACGGCGAGCGTCTGCTACAACTGTGTGCGGAGCACCAGTTGTTTCTTAATAGCAATGCTTTTAGACACAGTGGGCGCCGAAGACCTACTTGGCGTCCTCCTGTAGCTGGCCAGCGATGGACCCAAATTGATCACATTGCCATAAATTACAGGTCACGAGGTTCCAACCTGCATTGCCGCTCACACTGGAGTACCTGCGTGCCTTTGTACGCTGTCGTTTCTCCATGAACTTTACCGGGAAGCGCACCAAGCGTCCCCTCCGATTGGCAACTGAGAAATTGTCTCAGCCCTCGGTCAGGCAAGCCTGTCAAGACACACTGCGTACCGAACTTCCGCTCTGTTGTCCTAATGACCCTGAGCTTCAGTGGAATAGGATCTCGGCCGCCATGCAAGACGCAGGAGCATCTGCATGTGGCACTATCAATCGTCACCGCACCAGTCACTGGATATCCGAGAGGTCGGTGGACCTGTTGGGATCTAGAAGAAACCTCTCGGCTGGATCTGAACACAATGGGAGCGGACGGACTAGTAGGCGCGAATTAAAGCGGAGCCTACACGCTGACAAGGAAGCCTGGTGGACCAGTCAGGCACAAGAAATGGAGGAGGCAGGAGCAGAAGGGAATTATCGTCAGCTCTTCCAGCTGATCCGTACCACTCATCATCATCATCATTATACACGTTAGCTAGAGGTGCAAAACACCTCAGCTACTGTGCCGCAATAGCTAAAAGAAAAAAGAAAAGAAATGCAACAGTTGCATGCCACCTGAGCTACCAGCAACGGATGGGCATCGTTCCGAAAAGCTCCCAGCCGGCTATTATGCAGCAAAAAAATTACTATGCAAAATTATATAAGGTTAAATAGTGAGATCGTGATTAGAGGGGGAGGGCTAAGAGGGATGAGGTGGGACAAAGAAACTCACAGTACGAACGCCACTGAGGTCGGCTCTTAGCCATATCAACAAGTGTATCCAGTCGAACGTGTTCATCATCTTTCGGACCCTAACCAGGGAGCCGTGAAGCTCCAACTGTGGACAGCTCCAAAGTAAGAGCTTCCATTCCTCACGATCAAGTCACCGATTGGCCACCTCTCCTCTTCTTCCATCCACACCTCCCGCGAGCAAACAACGCAGGTCGCGGGAGCCGGTGGGCTGGCATGCGTAACACGTGGCCAAGCCATCGGAGCCTGGTGCTTGAAATGACGGTGCTGAGCGGTTCAGTTCCTTTTCCTGTGCCGTAAACAAGGCGTCGAACACGCTCGTTGCTCACGCGGTGTTGCCATCAGATGTGAGCCAAACTGCGAAGGCAGCGATGGTCGATCCACACCACTGGTCTCAAGAACCCAGGCGTCAGCGAGACAATAAGAGACAGCGAGGGAGCACTGATACACAATAAGGAGCACCGGATGGCTAGTTGGCCGGAACACGTTCAAGATCAATTCAGCTGGCCCCCTGCTCCCGGACCTCTTCCTACTCAGGTGAGGCAGGACGTGCCATGGAGGGTTAGTTTAGAGCCTCCGTCGGAGACCGAGGTCTGAAACTCGATCACAGCCCTCAATCGTTTCATGCCGCTGTGCCAGATTCCCTCCCACCTGCACCATTTAAGGATGGAGGTGAGGTCATCTGCAAAACACTGACATCACTGTTTGAACATATATGGAAGGAAAAGAGTTTGACGGCTAACCGGAGTGAATCGATTATAGTGGCAATATACAAGAAGGGCAGTCGCACCGAATGTGCTAACCACACGGGGAACTAGCCTAACGCCAGTTGTGACAAAATTACTGGCCTCAATTCTCGTTCGTCACCTCACTGCGGAACGGGAATCTCGGATTAGGGAAGAGCAGGCCGGTTTCCGCCCTGGTCGTGACCATATACACTCTGCGGCAGGTGTTAAAGCAGCGCCACGTGTACCGCGTTTCTCAACTTCAAGAGTGCGTTCGATTCCGTCGGTCGAACCATTCTGTTCGAAATAGTTGCGCGGAAAGGTGTACCACGAAATATGTGAACATCTTGCGTGCTCTATACTCGAACA